AATCCTCACATGATAAAAATCTTCATTTACTGTAACTAGCTCCATGTTGGGTTTATCAATGCGGAATACATGAGTTGCTGATGTTCAAAATCCTAAATCTGAATACAAAGTTCATGTTGTTTTAAAGTCTTATGTTGTCTTATGTAAAGCTATTTGTTAACCTAAAGTGCTTTTAAAATTCTATTGGAAATGGCAGGCTTATTTCTAAGCAGGGCCATTTCTTACACACCGAGAAACAAAAATTTAGTCATTTTTTTTTTGAGAAACAGCAGCTTTCAAGTTACACAGCTTGATGTAACAGGTCAAGTTGATAAAGAACACTGGTTTGTAAAAGAATTTCAGATTTTCTCAGTGTACACTTAATATTTAGAGTTCAATTATAGCTGAATTTAGTGAACAAAAACATAAATGCTTTAATAAACACTGAGATTTCTGTTAAAGCTACTGTAAAAACTACAACCCAGAGGCACCCCTCTGCTCAATTCAACAATAAACTTTCATTGTTAAAGTCTCCCAGGGCTGTTTTGAAATCAATGAAAATCCTCTTCTCCCAAGTTTAATTAATCACATCTCCTACATAATTCATTCACCTACTTAATACTTGTTCTACAGTTCCTCTTCCATTTCTTACCTTTTGTTGATCTAATTCCGGAATGACCTCCAACTGTTTATTACTTTTTGATTAATCTCAGCCTTTTGCAAACTTGTTGCCTTCCTTCCACTGATAACCCTGTAATACTTCTGGCTTCATTATTACAACCACCTAAACCTTAAACTGAGAAGTGTGACTTTTTCAGGATGACTGCATTCCTTACACTCTCTCTTTTAGCTCCTATGAAATTACCCTTTTTTTCCTTACTGTTAATCTTTTCTCACGTTTTCACCTATTTTTCCAGACTTCTGTTACCTACTGTCTCGGCACATACCCCCAAATGCTTTCTTCTACTTTTGTGACAACTCTACTTCAACTCTTAAACGTGCAATTAGATCCATCTTCCCTTCTAGAAAATTTCTAGTCCATTCAAGCACTGCTCATCATTCTCCCCCGGACTACTCCAGTAATAATAGCACTTATCAAACTGTACTGTCGAGTAGTAGTTACCTGATTATGTGTAGCTTCTCTTCAGTGCTTTACTCCGTCAGAGCAGGATTTCTATTCTATTTATGAAAGTAATTTTGGAGCCTAACAATCGGCCAAGTACTGAGCCTTACTAAATGGGCTCCAAATTAAGCTTTGTCACATTTACTTTTCTCTTCTCAGGGAATAGTTTACCAAAACAAAGTCTGACGCTCCAATTTCATAAATACCGGTGACTAAACTGACTAGCAACCTTCATGGAAGCAAAAAACTATAAAAGCAACCCCCGGTCGCCTCTCCAAAACAGCGTGTCCACGACGCTGCAGTCCTAGTTATACCGTTGGAAGTGCGGACTGTAGCTACAAGGATTGAGCACCAACATAAATGATGGGTGGAGGAGGCAGTGTAGGCAAGGAAGGAGCATAAGAATAAAATTCACTCTGGAGAGACTTCAGGCTACCCGGTGGCTGGTGCTACTATCTAGGCTCCGCGAGTTTCCAAGAGGGGCCGTTACACCTCACGTGACCAACGAATCTGTTTCTACGCGTGGTAGGGAGTGCCACAACCAAGCCCTGGCTACTTGGGCTGCTAGCTCCAAAGGCGAAGGGAAGGAACAGCGTTGCACAGGACCTGTTTCTCTGGAAGCCACAGAGTGCAGCCTGACAGCACACTAGAAGCCTGGGTAGCTTTGAGACCATCTAGGCAACCCCTGCTGTCCTCAAAGATAGTCAGAACTTGGGCGGAGGAAGACCTGAAACATGAGGAAACGTGCAGAGACTGCTGGACGACCTTAAGCATCTTCCAACGCTGACCGCCACTCACCGAGAACTGAGAATCAGAAGCCACAGACACCGATGCCGCCGCCATCTTTCTGGTCTCACAGCGCAGGCTTCCGCTGACTTGGGTTCGCTCTGAGTTCCTGAACTCTTCTTCAAAATTCTAGAGCCGCCCACCAGGGGCGACCTTAAGAGGAACCCCAGATGGAAAGGACGGGGCGCTACTGCCAGGGGTAACTATACCCCCCCCAACACACCCCCAAGGGGATGGATGCCCATGCTCAGAGCGCTCGCGGAAAGGGCAACACGTCCTCGCCGACGTCTTTTATAACCAATCAAAAGAGAGGACGTCCTTTCGTGTGGGAGAAATCCCGCCTTGTTTCTCGGTGACGTCACAAGGTAGGCGCGGCTGCGCCTGCGCGGCGGGAAAGCTGAGAGGTGTTGGACGGTTCTGAAGGGATTTTGTAAAGTGTTGACCTTTGGAGGAGAAAACATGGGCCAGGGGTGGTGTTGTCGCTAACGACAACTGACTGGAAAGAGTGCAGCAGAATAAAATCAAGTGGAATGTTCACTCACTCACTTCTCCAGGATTAAACGCTAAAGAGAGCGTGAGTTTGACTTGGGGACGCCTCTGCAAGTGAAGTACTGACACTTATGGCCAATAACAGGATCTGGAGGGGTTTAATGATTTGGCCCAGTGGAAGTAAAGGGAGGTAGAGAACAACCTTCGCGAATACTTTGCTGAACTAGCTTCGGCTGCGGCCCCTGGGCGGGTAGGTTTGAAGTGGATTTCGCGCGCTGCGAGGGTCGGGCTATCATTGGCCAGCGCCTCGCTGCCTTTGTGGGCGCTCCCGGCGTAACCGGGGCTGGAGTTGGGCGGGGCGGCCTGCTGACGCAGGGTCCACCGCAGCCAATCAGGGCTGGAGAAGCGAGGCCGAGAAGGAAGCGGATCCGTGGCCACGCAGTTAAATCGCATAGAACTACCACTCCGTCTCCCTCCGCCGCTTTCGGGGCCTAAACGGGAGCGGCTAGGACGGCGTCTGTGGCGGGGGGGG